TGCGTTGTGGGGGTTGGCCGGAGGGGAGGGGTTTGGGGGGGGAGAGGGGGAGGGTAAGACGAACCACTGACGATTGAAGCAGGTACCAGAGATATAGACGGATACCCCGGGCGAAGGGGGAGGATAGGAGGCGATGGAAGGGTAGAGTGCACGCATACATACGCACATACACCAACACACAAAGAAGCTCAGCGATATCTGTCGTTGTTTCGGTAAACTTGGGCATGTGACATTTTTTTTCCGGCATCTCGCGACTGAGTCCATTAAGAATAACCACATACATACATACATACATACATACATACATACATACATACATACATACATACATACATACATACATACATACATACATACATACATACATGCCCGCGAATTATCTCCTTCCCACGCCGGCGCTGCCGCAGGGGAGGTCGCTACCGCGGCTGCGGGTTTCGACGTCATCACATTTGCCGGGGGGGCATGGAGCTGGAGTCTGGGGTACGGCGAGCGAATGGGGCTGTTGCAGAGTAGTCAGGTGCCGTACTCTGGGCGGCAGGTTGGCGGGCGTTACTCCTCCAAGACGCCGCCGGGGGCAGGTGGGGCAGGTGGGGGATCCCTCTGTGCGTGTGTAGTGTGCTTACAGGCTTGTCCTTGTGTGTTCGTCTGTGCCTCTGTCTATCCCGTGTAACTCTGTCTGTCTGTGTGTCTGTCTGTACCTCTGTATATCCGTTTATGCTTTAGTGGACTGAGCTGCAAGCGGGAAGTGCTGAAAATGTGTGTGTGTATGTATGTATGTGTTGAATCAACGGGTGCCGCCTATCTCCTGACCCGTGCCCTTTTGCCTGAGTTGACCGCTTACCGCCGTACTTATCCTGCCCCACTGCTCTTCACTGCGCTTTACTGCTCTTCACTGCTCTTCACTGCGCTTTACGTCCGTTGGAAAAAGTATTGAACCTTTACTTCTTGCACGTGTAATTATCCCCCCTCCCCCGCCGCTCCTCTCCCCCCCCGTCTATACACACACACACACAAACCCACCTCCTCCTCACCCACCCACCCACCCACCCGTTCTTGGATCTCCCCGACAGGCTCCCGCAATGGCTCACCGGAACGATCCCGCTTCGGTGGTGGTTTCGGAGCCGCCTCAGCAGCCGGCGGCGGCCTGGCCCTGATGCCCACCCAGCCCGACTTGCTTTCCGACGCTCAGCGCTGGGTCGCCAACTGGCCTGATGCAGTGGGTCAGACCAACTTGCTGTCCGCGTTTCATGTGGCTGAGCAACACGCGGCGGCGGATTGCTGGTACATTCTGTCGGATGGCTTGGCACACGACCAGCAGGCGTGCCTGGAGTACTTGGCGCGCAGGAGCGAGGCGGGGTGTTTGCCGGTTATACATGCCGTGGGTAGGTTTGGGGGGAATAAGGGGG